TGAGTAAGTCTTTTTTATTAACCTACTTGTATTAGTTTTCACTTAACTTGTACACATTTTACTAGTTAGACTTTCTCCAAACTATAATTCCTGACTGTATAATCAAGTGAAACATTATGAAGTTTCATTCACATCATCTAAATGTCATGATACCAGGATGTTTTTTATGTTCTATAACAGACAGAAATATGATATAAAAGTAATATGAGTTATAATGTCACTAGCCTAATGTCAGTAAGAATGATTAGTCAAAACTTTACTGTGATAGGATATTCTCTGTTCATGAATATAGCCATACATGTTTATAATTATAGTTTTTGGATTGTATAGGCCTACATACAAAGCATGCTTGTGTTTATGAATGTAACTAAGCTTCTGTTCATGAATATCTGCTCTGGTGTAAATATTTTGAATGTGTTATACCCATGTCTTATGGAGTAATGATGCTGAAATGTTTGAAACCGTTTTAATTTTCGTTTAGGACTGTGGCTGCATCACCGGCATCTTGCACAAGAAAGGCACACGCATGTCGTTCAGTTTTGAGTTCGCTGGAAAATCACACTGAGTAAGTGCACAGTATAGTAATTGTATTATTCCCAGAATATGTGGTAATATTATTTGTGGTTGATAGTGTTAAAATGTTAGAATTGGCATTGTTTTCTCATGAAGTATGCATACTATACTAAGGTACTGTGGGGAATACACCACTCTTGCCTTCACCTGCATCTCTCATAGGAAGGGGGCACTCGTTCAGTTTTCAACTCCATAACTCCATTCAGAGTAAGTGTGCATTCACTATTTTACTGATGTTACTTTCATTTGATTTAGTTACTTCGTGGTAAAATATTAAAATATGGTGGTAATTGTGTTCTTTGTTTAGATAAATTAGTACTAGTATCAGTGAACATCACAATAATGTTAATCATGTAGTTTGTGTAAACAGCATGCTGGCTTTTTTATTTCAGATGTGAGAATAACAGTGCAAAAGAACCTGTTGCAAAGAGAGCCAAAGCAAATAAGCAGCCCACTTGGTCATGGAAACCAGAGACTGACGTTGACATGTTCCACAAGCTCTGAGATTCCTGCCCCGCACAAGAGCCTGGACCACAGCTAAGACCATGTGATGCACACACTCCCAAAATGATGTGATAGTTATATATATTCTAAATAAACTACAAACAAAAAAATAGATACATTTCTTTTTCCCTCATTATTTCTTGTAGCAATTCCCTCTCAGTCACACACCTGACAGCTCATTATGCAGCTCATTATGCAGCTCATTATGCAGCTCATTATGCAGCTCATTATGCAGCTCATTATGCAGCTCATTATGCAGCTCATTATGCAGCTCATTATGCAGCTCATTATGCAGCTCATTATGCAGCTCATTATGCAGCTCATTATGCAGGCCTTTGTCTTCTCAGGTGTGAATCACTCATTATACATGACCATTCACGCCCCCTCGCATATTCCTTTTCTACACAAAAAGTGTCTTAGAAAATTTAAATCAATATATTGTTTTCTGTGAGTGAGTAAACAAGATGATTTTCACATCATTCTGATGCAAAAACTCTAGACTTCAAGATCTGTTCTCAATAGTCCTGTGAACAAATGTTCTGTATGTGTTTTATGGCCTTATTTCAGTGACTTTAAAATTTTAGTTTTTCACTAAGCACGCATAAACGTTGTTTTCTCAAAAACACAATCACATACATACATGCTGCTCACATATTATTGTAGCCCAGTTTGTGCTGATTATGGTGCTACTAAACTTAGTCATTAAAATGTTTATTAGCAACTGAAAAAAGCACAAATGTCAGGACATGTCAAAACTTCTCCAGGGCCCAAAACACACTCAGACCCCAGATTTCAGTGACTTTAAAATTTAAGTTTTTCACTAAGCACGCATAAACGTTGTTTTCTCAAAAACACAATCACATACATACATGCTGCCCACATATTATTGTAGCCCAGTTTGTGCTGATTATGGTGCTACTAAACTTAGTCATTAAAATGTTTATTAGCAACTGAAAAAAAGCACAAATGTCAGGCATGTCAAAACTTCTCCAGGGCCCAAAACACCCTCAGACCCCAGAGGGTTAAAGACCATGCATGGTTTTCAAAGAGATGCCCTACAATAGCGCAGCAGACATTTCTGAGCGTTTTCCCTGTGTTGTATACCTGTTGATTACCTGGACTGTTTACTTGTTTACGATTGCTTGCTGCCTACCTATTCTGACCCTGCCTGCCTTGTTGATTCATGCCATTGATTGTCTGCTGCCTGTCTCGACCCTTATTACGAATACTGTTTTACGATTCTGTCCACCCTTCGTTGTTTCTAATGCCAGTTAACGATTTATGCCTGTATGACCTGCCTTGTGAACTAATAAAGCTGCACATGGATCCTAACGCCACTGCCTCTCTGTTACAATAACATTATTCTCTATTTGTATACAAGCCATTAGGAGCAATGAAGCGCATACTTCTGACGCTGTGTGCAGCTGAATCAACTGCACACTCATCACAGCTAATGAAAACATAATTTTAGAAATAAACCAAAGTGATATTGAGATTACGCCACTGGATATGGCGAACCCCGGTTGAAATGCATACACAAGAATGCCTATTTCATTTAACCTGTTCTCATATCTGTTACTATCAGCGTGTCCTCAGAGTGATTTACATGCTCTACATACTCTAGACTGCGTGTTGCTCCAGCTGTATAAACACAGATGTGTAAATGCTGCTGCAAATATGCTTAATATTTCGCTCCTGCATAAGGTGCAAAACTGCTAACATCACTTAGTTTAACTTGTTATAGTTGCTATTTTTTTAATTCAGTTAGGCAGACCACGTAAAATACACAGCAATATGGATTAAAAGAGCATTCACTTATCTTAGATGTGGATTTCAGATGTTTCTGAAGCATGCTGCAACTGTTTGATTTGCGAGCAGCGATGCGTTAGGAGAGATACTGAAAGAATGGAATTAAATGGACCGCTGTGATAAGCGTCACTGGATTGGTACACATCAGGAACAGCTGACGATCAGCTGATACGAGCTTGTCTGACGTGGCCTGCCTGAAACGCGATGCTTGATTTTTATAAAATAATATGTCATTAATAACAGAGGTTCACTTTTGTGATTTGGTATGATTGCATTCACACCAGAAGCGAACCATACCGGAGTTCACATGAACTGTACCCCAGACCACCCTTTTTAAGCAGACTCTGGTACAGTTCGCGGGTGCGCATCCGAGTTCGGAAGACAGCGTTCACATCATCCAAATGAACCGAACTCTGATGTCAATCGAACCAGTGTAACCCGCATCAAAAGTGCCAGTGTGAAAGCACCCTAAATATCTTGCATTTAAAGATCAATATTACTCAAAAATCATACAATCCTCATCAATAGTGACATTAAAACATATTTTAGATTTAATATTAAGAAATTTGCATCATACACAAGTAAACTAATTGTACTCCAAATAAAGTTTAATTGTAATTTTTATATCAGTAAGTCTTGAGCAGTGTTACTGTAATTAAATTACTTATCCACTGTAAAAGTAAAGTAAGGGATTACTGTTCATTTAAAAGTAATGTAATTACAGTTCCTTATAAAGTAAGAGTTAAATACTGTAAATAATTTCAACAGTTCTAAAATCAATATTTACATTTATCGTCGAATGCAGCCTCTTTAACCATCTGCGCACTGGCGCATTCATTTGCAGTTATTCCTGATAACAGAGAAAATAACCTATAATACTCAGCATACAGATAAGACTAAAATCAGTCAAATCTGTAATGGGTCTACTTTTATTTGTGTACACTCACAATAACAACAAAACATTGTAAAATAAAGAAAACACACTTTCTGCCATCTCGGCCTCCGTGAACTTCTTTCTGAAACATGTCTGAAAACGAAACTAGCAAATACTTGACACACAGATGTGAGAAATATGTCTACACAAAACTTGAAGTGTCTACTTTTAAATGAACAAATTAAAATCGAAAACTAATATTCTCTGATTATGTAAGCCATATGAAACCAATGCGACGTACAGTCTTTCCCGTCTGAGCTCATTATCTGCAGCCATACCTGCGCGCATAAGCTCTCATCACCTAGATACAAAAAACATATAACAAAAAACAAAAAAAAAATCAAGATTCATCTACTTTTCATAATTTTTGGAAGAAGACTCGCTATGAGGAATAAGCCGGAAATTTACCTCAGAAGAACAGCGTGATCTGACGTGGCTTTATTCAGCGGAGGATATCATTTCTGTAATGTATTCTTACTTATATTAGTTAATGTGTTATTTTCACATAAACTTGTACGCATTAAACTAATTGGGCTTTAAAAATCTTGCTAAACTGAAATGTGTGAAAGCGAGCAAAACATAATACACATTCAGATAAACAGGAAACTTTTTGTATTACAGCCTCGGACCACAATCTCATAAAAGTGCAGATGCACAACTAACAAAGTGCAGTTAAAGAAAATCAATGCTTTCAGCTTAAAATCTCTATTCATATCGTGTGTGTGTGTGTGTGTATGAAAATTGTGTGCATATTTTAAGCCAAGACTACATCTTACTTAGACTATTTAATGCTTTCAGCAATATGCCACAGTTTGCTTCTATGTTTTTTCAAGAGACGGATACTTTTGTGAAATTATCATGGTTTAAGATTTTCTGAAAGATCTGATTACCTCTCCAGGGCGGATTTTGATGTAGAAATTACTCCTTTTGTAAGAGATCTTGAGGATCTTTGGCCAGGCAAAACGATTGATTCTCAGCCTGTCACGGTAAATCAATAGACCATTGGCACACACGCCCAGCATTAAGTCAATCCCTTCTGAATCCTGCCTCAGAAAGAATTGGTGATTATTAAAGGCACAGTCAGCTAAATTACATAACTTCTACTGCAAGAAGTTTGCCTAATACTATGTTAGTAAATATTTTTTACAAAACATTTAAATGTTGAGTGTATGATTTCTATATTCACTAATGGCACTAATTACAAGCTACTTGCTGTTGTAGTGTCTATAACAGTTGTAGTTACAGATTGTACCACGTGCTTTTTATGTACCTTAGCATGATGCAGGTCAACACCGTACATGGAGAGTTTCTTTGCATTTTCCAAGAAATTAATTTCCGCCTCGGCAGGTGTCATTCCCCTGAGAAAAAGGAAGAAAATAACCATTCTGGTTATCCAAAGGTGCCCCTGACAGTCACATGTGTGCATTTCCCAGCATTTACAACAGCTTCAAACATAGCTGCATAGCTGCAGCTCCATACAGAATGTACAATCAGGACTGATTTATTCATTAAAGAACTGATATATTTATTAAAAGTTTTATAATAAAATTTTAAGAAATCAATTAGAACTATTCTGAAACAGTACAGAATATTTGTTAATATTTGGTAATATTATGCATCCTATCCATTGTCCAACTGCCTTTCCTATGTATGGTTTACAGGCATGCTGGAGCCCATCCCAGCACCTCAGGCCATAGGCAGGGAACATTACATATACTGGTTGTATTATTAATATAATCTGTAATATAATCTCTTTTGCATTAAACAAGAACTGTAAAATCTCTCTGAAATAAATACAGTCTGTAATATCTCTCTCAGACCTGTAAGTTCTATGTAGTTCCATCACCCTTTCCTCCAGTTCACGAGTTTGGTTGGGGGCAAAGTGGAAGTCACTAACGTAGTCGGAGCCATGGTCATCTTGGTCAAAGTCTCCCAGTTCTGCCTGCACGGTGTAGGAACCCAGCAAAGCATGTGTGACAAAGGAACAGGGCAGACGGCCAGAGAGGATGTCATTTCGCAGCTGCAAACACAGGTAGTACCTGGAACAGAGAATATCTCCTAAAAGTATAAATTTTGTCATATTCTTATTTTCGTAGTTAATGCCTGACCTGTAGAAAAGCTGAGCGGTCTTCAGAATGACATACTATCATAATACATTTCAGTATTTTTTTTGTTTACTTCGCAGAGCATGCAAATCTTCTAGAAATTTAAATTAAAATAAACAATAACCTGGAAACAATATAGTCCATGATTTTGGTATCTCTTTTGTGATGGGAATGTCATTTGGAATGCCAAATTTTAAGATTTTTACACAATGTAATCCAATGTAATGTAAACATGTAATGCAATTATGCCTTGCAACTTACAATGTTTATTGTGACATACTGCAATGTTTATTATTACATTGGCCAATAATCATGTTGGCTTGGCTGATTAAAGGGCATATATTATGCCCCTTTTTACGAGATGTAATAAATGTCTCAGGTGTCCTTTAAATGTGTTTGTAAAGTTTCAACTCCAAAATACCCAACAGATCATTTATAATTTTACATGCTGTAAATGCCCATTTTTTTACAGAAGCAAAAACATGCTGTTTTCATGCATGTATCTTTAAATGCAAATGAGCTGTTGTCCCCCTCTCTGCCAAAATAAAACAGCTTGGTTTTGATTATCATGACATTGCAGTTCTTTGCCATTCTTTGACAGTTTATTATTTGCATGCATTTTAAAATCATATCAGTTTAAAATTCTGATATATGGTTTTCTGAGAGCACACATCTGAAACGAATGCCCAGAATTGTCCATTGAACTGTCCACCAACTTGCACCATGTCTGCACAACTAGCATGACACTAAACAGAAAAATTGCAGTATGCCTAACATGGAAAGTAAAAGAGAACAAAAGATTGTGGCGGAACGGGAAAAGGCGTAACTGGGAAAATGAAACCAAAACAATTGTCCTGACCGCCAGCGAATAGGAACGGGAGCCTAATTTGGGAAGGAAGTGATGTGGCTATATGTAGTGGAACAGAATCAAAGGATGGCGGGTTAGTGGAGAGTGGAGAAGGAAGAAGTCGAGAGTGTCTAGAGTGAAAGTTTACCGGGTTCAGCGGAGCGCACACTCACGCACTCTGTAATGCTGGAGCGAGCGCCGGAGGGTTTTAAAGAGGTCATTATCCGAGCGGCAGGACTAGCGCAGAGGCGGGTGAGGTTTCAGGAGCGGCAGGGAAGTGTCTGTACCTGGATGCCTTTTCCTTGGAGAAAATCCACCTCCGCTGTTTGAAAAAACTGTTTCCCCAAGTTCATGAGCGGCCGGTCGGATGGCTCATGGCTTCCCGTAACACACATCAGCACTCACCCAAAGTTCGCCCGCACATACCGTACCGTACAACTTCCTTATGTGAGTATTTTCTTTTCCATCTTAAGATATTAATTCGTCGAATGGTCTGGGCGACTGGAATTAATCTTGTTTGTATTCCTTTGTTTTCTTCCCTCCTTTTTTATCGGTTTTGAATTGTAACTGAGCACGGACTATCGAAACTGCTGAGGTGAATGCAGAGTTAGACTGGAGTCTCGCAATACTACCAATTTATTGTATAGTTTGTTTTTTGACTGATGGATGTGTAATGTATGTTCACCTTCGTGTGAACTAATTCTTAGTTTTTTTTTGTCTTGTGAAAAATACATACGTTCAACTGAACTGAAAACTATTTTCCCCTGAGAATTTATTTCCTGCTTTGCATTATATTCTCTGCTGGTGGGATTTTGTATGTAATGGGTGGTTTTGAACGGCTATCTGGGTTTAACTACTTTTGACAGGCTTATTCCTGTCTGGCGGCCGAACATTTTGAGTTGGTAAACTTATATTTTTGTTACTAAACCTGGTTACCTGGGTGCCACCACCGTTACAGAAATGGCGCCCGAACAGGGAGATCATTTCTTTCAATATAAACACTTGGGAATCTACCATTTTTATAAGGCAGCAGCTATTTATAATATTGGCAATTACCTGCACTTCAGAACTGTAACAGTATGCAATAATAACGTATTGAGTGTAAATTATTATTTTAGCCTAATTCAAATTATTATGCCACCTTATTGGGACAATATAAGCCCTCCCTACACCTACACTAACCCTACCCAATACTTTATTTAAACTTTTCGATTATTTCCCTCATTTTTATTGAAAATAAATGCCTTTCTGACGTGAGATTTGAAAAGGAAGAAAGAAAAATGGCAAAAGGTGGATTCGAACTTGATCGCATAAAAAAACAGCACGCTCTTTACCGTCTATGCCACTGGAGATGCTGTTAGACTAATGTCTAGTGTTGACAAGCCAAATCACACATTGGTGGGCAGAGTTAGTGGAAATAGCCTCTGCCAACAAGGCTGGCTATTTGCACTTACTATAAATAGACACCCCATTTTCATAAAATGGAGATTTGCAGTATGCAAAATTTGGAAAGCCAGAATATCGAGACCATACGGTGGCCGAAAAGTGCAAAACAAATCACAATTCTGAAAACAAAATAACAAATTACAAACGCAAATGCAAATCTAAAAAACTAAATAACAATTCAGAAAACACAACAACAATTCCGAAACAATTATAACAAGTCAGAAAATACAATGACAAATCCGAAAACAAAATAAGCCAGAAAACACAACGACAAATCCTCCAAAACACAATCAGACTTATCCAGTGCAGATCCTCCAGCAACGCTATCAACATTTAAGAGGCATTCTTCTGCAGGAGTTTCAAAAGGTTAAATCTATATTACTAGTGGGAGCTGATCATCCTCCCCTTCTTTGCTCCAAAGAGCGAGTACGTTTCGGTCCTCCGAAATATTCTCTTGTTTTAAGAATATTTTACTTACCCCACTGGCAGATAATTTTACTTGTTTTACGTAAAATGCACTTAATTTAGATTTCCCCCCCTGGAAACAAGACTAAATATCTTAAGTCAATTGGCTTATCTAGTAAAAGTATCTTGATTTTTTAGATATTTTGACTAGAAATAAGATAAGCCATTTTTGCAGTGTATTGTAGGATTTTTCACAACCTGCCCCAGAAACTGAGGCCTCTACCTCAGTGGGCTTCAAAAGGAATGTGAACAAGTTAATGCTTTAAACCTTTCAAATAAATTACAGCCAGTCCTGTGCCTGTATTAAGTCATGCCATTTGTGATTTGATTTGCCTTAAAGGAGTCATATGATGCGATTTTAAATTTTTCCTTTCTCTTTGGAGTGTTACAAGCTTTTGGTGCATAAAGAAGATCTGTAAAGTTGCAAAGACTAAAGTCTCAAATCCAAAGAAATATTCTTTATAAAAGTTAAGTCAACCACGCCTACCTAAAACGGCTCATTCTAATACGCCCCCACATGTCTACGTCACGATGTGGGAAGATTTGTATAACGCCGTCCAAATGTTCACACAAAGAAAGAAGGCGTAACTTTTATTCTCGCTGTAGTATTGTTGTTGCCGCCATATCGTGGAGACGCGGTGTGCTTTGTTGTGAATGCGAAACTAATTTGTCTAGCCTTCCAAAAGAGGACGATATCCGCTTCGTCATGCCTAGAGCTGATCCGTGCTGGTCGCTGAGGAAATACATCAACTTATTGCTGTGAATCGCCAGATCGGCTTTCACCTTGGACGAAGCGCCCGGGGTCGTCACATGTGGTTGCCGCAAGCCCGCTGGCCGCTCCTTCGTCGAATCTGCCGGCCTCGCCGTTCTCAAGCCCGCCGGCCGTTCCTCACTCTGGCCTGCTGGCCACCGCTCACTCTAATCTGCCGGCCTCTTCTCACTCTAACCCGCCGGCCTCCGCTCACTCAAGCCTGCTGGCCTCCGCTCACTCAAGCCCGCCGTGTGTGATGCTGTGTGTTTGGTTGTGAAAGCGAAACTACTTTGTTTGGCCTTCCAAAAGAGCACACGACTAGAAATCAGTGGTTAAGTTGTATTTACAACCCTGTTCCAGAACAGTTCAACCCAAATATTCAGATGTGTGCAGCATATTTTATGGAGGACTGTTTCCTGGCAGAGTAGACTGCAATGCCGGCTGTTCTGACTCACAGACTGTAAGTACTTATTTATTTTTAAAGAATTTGCCACTGACGATTCAAACGAGAGTTTTGAGCAGTGTAGAGTAGCGCTTGTTGTTTGCAGACATGGTTTTATGTTTCCCCGGCATGATGCTATGCAACAAATGCCTCGTTTATAATGGGTTTTAATGTTTTTGTCTTGTCGCTCCGGCCGGGACAAGGCATCAAAATATGGCAAGGGGCGTAACATTTCCGTCACACGCTGGAGGTATTCGGCCAATCACAACGCACTGCCGATCACAAATGCAGACATGGTTTTATGTGTACGCGGCGTGATGCAACGCAACGTAATGCATAAAAAGACAGTATAAGTCATTATAATCTGTAATTATGTCCCCACTGGATGTAACAAATGTCTCATTTGTAATGGGTTTTAATGTTTTTGTCTTGTCGCACCGGGACATGGCATCACAGTATGGTAAGGGGCGTAACATTTCAGTCACATGCTTGAGGTATTCGGCCAATCACAACGCACTGGATAGCTGACCAATCACAGCACACCTCACTTTTCAGAACGATGAGCTTTGTAAAAATCGACTCGTTTTAGAAAGGTGGGGCATAGAGGAGAAACAATAATGTATAGTATGTGGAAAATAATGTGTTTTTTTAACCTTAAACCGCATAAACACATTTCATTACACCAAATACACAAAATAATGTTCTTTTTAGCAACATCATATGACCCCTTTAAGTTCAGTCACATGCTTGAGGTATTCGGCCAATCACAACGCACTGGATAGCTGACCAATCACAGCACACCTCACTTTTCAGAACGATGAGCTTTGTAAAAATCGACTCGTTTTAGAAAGGTGGGGCATAGAGGAGAAACAATAATGTATAGTATGTGGAAAATAATGTGTTTTTTTAACCTTAAACAGCATAAACACATTTCATTACACCAAATACACAAAATAATATTCTTTTTAGCAACATCATATGAC